TATTTCTAAAGCATGGCCATGAGTATTATAGTGATTACGGTACTTTAATCACCATCAACATCCCTGCAAATTCAAGTAAGACTATAAATTATAACTCCCAGCAGTCCTTCCAATTGTGGTTCAGAAAGTAACCCTCTGTTTGCTGTATCGGAATTAGTAACGCTCAGATTGTTGTGTACGAAAGCTATTTAATTTTATCCTCAGATGGCATACTGCTGGTGGCTATACGAGGTTGCTCCGTGGAAAATAACATCCCCTTCAGTAACTTAATATCTGGATCTAGTACTATGGACTGGTACTTTTACAAAACAGCCGAAGAGTTTCAAGTGTGGTGTCAAGGGAAAATGGTAAGTGTTAAAATATGGTATGGAAACTTTATCACAATATGATTTCATCAAAGTATGATTTGCAAACATTATCAAAATATGATATGCAGCCATTTTCAAATATATGAATTCATTCAACCGTCGGGAATTAGGTTATAGACTATAGACATTTTCAACTATATAGCTCTCATCACGATTTATCATTATTCTTACTATAAATCATAAATATTTTTCAATAATTTTCCTAACTCGCTTTCTCCAGTACCACAGCCAAAAGTTTGCCTGACGCAGCAGATCCTGATGGCTGCATTGCAAACATGTCCCCTGATATGACCAAGGTCAGATTCAAAGATGCTACTTATGATGCAAGCGAAGAAAATAAGACACCTAAAGAAAAGAGGAGGAGCCTATTGATCCAGGTTAGTAACTAATATAAAAGAGAACAAATTGCACTTCTGTAAGTACTAAGTTAAAGTAGTGGGCCAGGTTTAAACTAATTATACTAGAGACTTAGCTCCTTGACCCCCGTGCTATATGGCCCATCTCGTTCGTAAATAGTACCCACAAAGCAGTGTAGTGGGGGAACTGGGACAGAGAAAGGAATGTGGATAAGAAATAGTGCATGTACAGTAAAACATAAAAACCCCATTTACTGCACCGTACTATTTACTGCACCGTACCATTTGGCATTTACTGCACCATTTTACTGCACCATACCTTTTATTGCACCGTACATTTTTCCTTTCCTTGTTTAAAATGTAGCTCACTAGAAATCCGCACATTGAAATGCAGCTGTACTCGCGGAAATTTGAAATTAGTTATATAATAATTTCTCTTCATCATCTAGCTCCCGTTCTGTAAAAACCCATTATAAAATAAAGATGTAATACTGTTCAAAGAAAAACGATTATCATTCTGCATTCATTTAACTTTCAAGTAAATATAACGAAACCACAACTTTATCAAAATTAATTCAGTTACAACCACTCTGCTATTATAAATGGTCTAAAAATGAATAACTTACATACTTTTGGACTTTTAATAATGTAGAATTCATGAAGTTAAACAAACTCGTAATTCTATTTAGTAAGGTTTTATCCTAATTTTAAAATCCTTCAAGAAAAATGATATTGGATATATGGCTAAATTATTTAATTATTAATTATATGGCTTGATAAGCAAGCGACAATACGAATAATTTCGTAAAATTGTTATCTTTTTATGTCTAGATTTTCCCGACAAAAATCGTAAACATTAAAGTTGGCTGTTGGCACAGTCTCAAAAATAAAAAAGAAAGTGATAAAATTATAAAAAATAAGAAAAGTAACTGTATTCAACGAATGAAAGACAACTGAACTAATTCTTAAGCAAAGGAGGGGACACATCCATAAAAAGCTGTAAATTGAATTGAAATTCTGAATGCGGATAGAAAATCGTCGTTCTATGGCCCATCCAATATAATCCCAAAATATTTCTACATAGGGGCCAGAAATATGCTGAGATCTTAGTCTGAAAAATAGTTGAGTATTTACAACAGATAATTGTCCGAAGATTTCAATATCAAAGTTTACTAACTACAAAGTACATACACATATAAAAATCACACTAAGTACACCAAAAAAAACCCGTACATAATACAAAACCATTAACTTTTCATTTACATTCCAACCAACAATAATGATACTATTATTATACTGACAAGCTCATAAGTATAAGTGACACATTCTGCATCATTACCACGTCAAATAAACCATCAATTACCAAATAATCAACCAAATTACATTGAATAACCAAATCAATAAAAGTGAGCGACACTGTGAGCAAGCAATGGACATGGCTGTATCAGTGTCATCCTTATACTCTCGTGCCAGTATGTGCAGAATCTGACCGCTCAGCCATCATCGTCTGTTTTTACCTATACCACATCGCCTGAAACCACAGATAAACACAAACCTAATCAAAATCGTTATGAGTGAACATTGAGGTTTTTTTTGGGGTGTTTGGAGACTCTGTCAAATAAACGATAATTTGATTCAAAAACCCTCAACGGGAGATTAAGTGGAGCGCAAACAAGTTGGAACCACTCACTGTAGTGAAGATGCTCACAGTGTGTGGGAGGAATTGTTATCCTCACTTCAGTCCTCTGTGTCGATAGCAAGGTGAAACAGGGGTTAGGAAAATCGTACTGCGTATTCTAAGTGAGCTAGGGAATATTGGTCACTAAACAGAGGCTAAATAAGTAGGTTGGTGGAATGGGTAGGTGTGTAGTATATTATGACGCAGATTTATCAAGTGATTCATATGTATATATTTAGTGGGGTGTTTATATGAAGACGGTGAAATTTTGTGAAAATACTCTAAGGTTGAATGGGATGGGTGCGAGGCGGATTTTTTTTTTGAAACGGTACATGATGGGAAAGGTGTAATATTGTATTGTACTGGATATTAATAGTGTATTTGTGGGAATAACATTTAAGTGGTAATGGGTGGGTAATTAATATGGGTAAGGGAAATGTATAGGAGTGGAATAGTGTTCTTGAGTGTATGAATAGTGTATAGGTGGTGGTCAGCGAGGCGGACGGGGTAATGGGAGGTCAGATAATTAGGAGTGTGTAATGTGGGAAAGGAAAGTAGTGGTTGATTTTTTGGTTTGTGTTAGTGTTGGTTTTGGGAGATTGGTGGGAGAGCGCGAGAGAGGGGAGTGGCCTGGTGTGAGATTGATCTGAGCGTATGTGTGTCTCTCGTTAGATAGTGGGGAGTTTTATAGAGTAGAAGTGGAATATTTATGGAATTCTCTCTTATTAAAGATTATGTTTAAGTGGTGGGTTACAAAGGGTTGAGTACTCTACTCTAGATCGAGAGATGGGATTGTCTGGTGGAAAGGTGGTGTTGTTTTATGGAGGTATGTTATGTAGTATGTGAGGTTGTTGATGTGGATGGGAGGGTTTGTGTGGTTAATGGGGGAAGTAGGGGTATTGGTGGGGGTGTGGGTTGTTTTGGTGTTGATAATTTATTTGTTATGGGGTGTGTGGGTTGGTTGTGTGCGTATGTGAGGTATTTGAGTGGAGCAGTTTAATTTGGGGGGAAGGTTTTTTGTAGTGAGGAAGGGATACAGTCAGGAGATGGGGACTGAAGGTTATGGTGGGTAGGGAGATGATTGTAATATAGTGTAGTGAGTAGATTGATGGTGAATATGAGGTGTTGAGAGGATGTGTGTGTGTATGGGTGGGGGGGGTAGGGTGGGGTTATGGTGGGGGGTTGGTTGGGGTGGTGGGGTAGGGGGGGGGGGTTAGGTGGGGGTAGTTGGGTGTTTGGTTGGGGTTGGGTGTTGGGTAGTGAGGTTAGTGTTGAGTGTGTGGGATATGTGTATTTGTTGGTTTGGGGGTTTTGGTGGTTGGTTATTTTTTTTGTTGTTGGGGGAGTGGTGGTTGGAATGGGGATGTGGGGTGTGGAAGGTGTGGGTGGTGGAATGTGTGTTTGTAGTGGGGTGGGGGTTGTTGGGGTTGTGGGGTGTGATGGGGGGGGTTGGTGGGGGGGGTTGTGGTGGTTGGGGGGTTGGGTTGGGGTTAGGGAGGGGTTTTTGGGTGGGTTTTGGTTTGTTTTGTGTTGTTTTGATGGGTGATTTGTGTGGTTGGGGGGGTTGGGGGGGGTGTGTGGGGTTTGTGTGGGGTGGTTTTGTGTGTTGTGTTTTGTGTTGTGGGGGTGTGTGGGGGTTTTGGGGGGTTTGGTGATTGGTGTTGGTTTTGTTATTTAGTTTGGGTGGGGTATTGGTTTGTTTTGGGAGATTGGAGTTAGTATAGAGATATCTCTATATTGTGGGTTGGGTTTTTGGTGGGGGGTGGGGGTGGTGGTGGGGGGGGTTGGTGTGTGTTGGGGGTTTAATATGTGTTTTATCTATATATAGTGTGTGGTGATCTATATGATATGGTTATATGTAGTAGTATGATATTTAGGATATATATATATATATATCAAGTCATATATTGTTTTACTCTTTGTTTTATCTTAATATCTATGGTGTGATAGGTGTTTGGTTTTTGTGGGGATGTTGGGGTGTGTTGGTTGTTTGGGGGATATATATTGTTATATATATATATATCTCTTAGGGTGGGTTTATATGCGTTGGATAATATATAGATTGTGATCTGGATATATTTTATATTGGTTTGGTTTTGTTTTGGTTGAGAGTATTTTCAAAGGGGTATGGAAGTAGTTATGGTGAAAGGAAGAGTGGGTTGTGTGGTATGTTTAAAGAATTGTTGGGGATTGATGTTGTTGTAGGTTATATGGTGATGGGTTGGTGGGTGTGGTAGAGTTGTGAGTAGGATATGACGTAGGGAGTTTTTGTGTTTTGAGTTAAATTGGTGTTGTTTTGTGTTATGTTTTAGTAGATGAAAGATGTTTTTCTTAAATGTGATGGTATTTAAATATTGGTGGGGGCAGCTAGAGTACTTTTCTCTCACTCTCTATGTGTATATCTTTTCTATCTCTCTCTCACTTTATTAGATATGGGAGAGGATGGTAAGTAGTAGGAATCTATTATTCTATAATTATTGTTTGCGTCCAAGCCCAAACTAGAATCCTTTAAGCTTCTTGTCCATTTGTATGTGTTCTAGTGTTAGCAACATCTGGTTCGATAATTTGTGAATTATACCGTCTCTAAGAGATCATTCACTTATCAGGGAGGATGGGGGAAGTGGTAAACAATCCCTAAAAGTGTGTGATAACGATGAGAACAACACCTTGTCTTAGATCGTCACCCTCCTTGTAGATTATCCCAAAGTTCAGTTTATATGTTGGATCCTGGGAAAAAGATGATAATTCTAACTTTCTAAATTTTTTTATTATCGTAAAGTTAAACGTGATGCATGTTGCCGGATATCTTTTAAACATAACAGAATTTCTGACCCCAACGTTCAACATTGTGAATATTGGCCACAAGCTCGTACCAAGTCTTCGGAACAAACAAGAAACAAGAAACACAAAATCACAAGATAAGACTTAGCTAACCTGATTGGTAAACTTCATCAACATGGGCCTCATGCTGCTATCAAATATCTTCGTCTTCTCCACCAGAATGTCTTTTGTCCTTTGTCGAGGATCTGTCAAGTTTTGGAATCCACAGAATGTTTTGTTAACTGCCGGGGAGTTCAGGGTAGACTTTATCTGAAAATAGGGAGGTTATTTTTGGGAAAATAGGGAGGTTTTTAAGAGAGAGGCTGGACCTAGTTGGCCCACAAGAGGATATTATCATTAATAGGAAGGTTGTAATTTTTAATGTTAGCCTAAACCGCTTCTTTATTACCTGACTTACGATCAGATTATGAAGATGTAGGATAATGTAGGATCGGATAATGAAGGTGCTCAAATTTATAACTATTTAGACGAAGTTTAACAAACGACCTTCCTGATACATTATAATTTAATGTTCTCTAACAACGGGAGATTGTTTCCAGTGGTTCTGTTTGCGAGATCCTTTGTTCCTTCATGACAAGTCAAGAGTTTTCTAATTTAAGTAATTACAGTTCCTGCTTCAACCATAGAATATGGGACCCCCTTATATAAAACGTCGGAGATAACAGTCCTTCACCCTTGTACAAATGTTATAGTACACATCACAGTGCAATTAACCTCTGGATGGTAATTACGAGAGTAACGCTAGGTGTATAAAGTCAGTGATCATGCTCTGGAGTCATGTAATTGTGTAAATTTGAGTTAAACCGTATGTTTAATCATAGTTCAGGTTGAAGACTGTTTTACAACCACCCCCTTGCGTTCAATCCCCATCCTTGACGCGTGAGTATGATAATATAGAGTTTCACTTGTGGTTTTATCAGATTTAAGTGCGTAGTCTATAACACGCAGTGATAAGCTATAGGACTTTATTCAAACCACTCACTCCCTGCGCTGTATTAAGTAAGCAGCTCTCTCACGCTGCGACCTTGTATAAGATCATTGTGTTAAACGTTATTCTGAAAACTGTGCCCGCTCTCGGGTGAGTAACTTAGGGATTGGTCACATATTCTTCAGGCGAGTAACTTAGGGATTGTTCACATATTCTTCGGGTGAGTAACTTAGGGATTGCTCACATATTCTTCAGGCGAGTAACTTAGGGATTGGTCACATATTCTTCAGGCGAGTAACTTAGGGATTGGTCACATATTCTTCGGGCGAGTAACTTAGGGATTGTTCACATATTCTTCAGGCGAGTAACTTAGGGATTGTTCACATATTCTTCGGGCGAGTAACTTATGGATTGTTCACATATTCTTCAGGCGAGTAACTTAGGGATTGTTCACATATTCTTCAGGCGAGTAACTTAGGGATTGTTCACATATTCTTCGGGCGAGTAACTTAGGGATTGGTCACATATTCTTCGGGTGAGTAACTCAGGGATTGGTCACACATTCTTCGGGTGAGTAACTTAGGGATTGGTCACATATTCTTCGGGCGGGTAACTAAGGTATTGGCAGGGGTGTAGGAATGATTTTCTTCATGGGGGGGCCAAATTCTAAATATTTTTTGGCGCTTCGCGCCACAGCATAAATTTTTTGGCGCTTCGCACCAAAGCCTTAATTTCGGGGGCCTCACGACAAATCGCGATTTTTTTTCAGTTCTCCACGTCATATTGCGCATTTTCCTTTAAATCTGAGGACCAAATATCACGTTTTCTATAATTAGTATATGAAACCAATCAGTGTCACTTCCACAACCTTCCAAATGTAGGTACTTCAAAAAAACCGAAAAAAATATTTTTGGCTCATAATGATCAGGGTAGCATGAAACATGAACAAAAGTAGTTTCCAAGAAAACTTTGAAAATTTTTGACTTACAAAATTTTCGGTCCGAGTCATTCTCGATACGTACCTCTGAAAGCAGAGCTCCCGCTTATGAGCTCGTATCGCGAAGGGGAGGCCTGCCTTCCGAGATCGCATTACAAAGTGGAACCATCGAGTCCAAATTCGTATATCGAACTTCGAAAACAAAAATTTTCGGGAAAATTGTTTTTCCAAAAATTTTTAGTAACCTAAATTAAAAAGTTGGCCCTTTTTGGCCCCTTGCCCAGATTTCATGGGGGGGCGATGGCCCCCCCTGCCCCCCCGCTTCCTACACCCCTGGGGATTGGTCACATATTCTTCAGGCGAGTAACTTAGGGATTGGTCACATATTCTTCAGGCGAGTAACTTAGGGATCGGTCACATATTCTTCGGGCGAGTAACTTAGGGATTGGTCACATATTCTTCAGGCGGGTAACTTAGAGATTGTTCGCATATTCTTCGGGCGAGTAACTTAGGGATCGTTTACATATTCTTCGGGCGATTAACTAAGGGATTGTTCACATAATCTTCGGGCGAGTAACTTAAGGATTGTTCACATATTCTTCGGGCGAGTAACTTAGGGATTGTTCACATATTCTTCAGGCAAGTAACTTAGGGATTGTTCACATATTACGCAAGCCATTCTCTGACCATGTTAAACTCCCCCTCCCCTCTCTCAGCTACTTAACACAAAGCTATTATGTGGAAATAACCCGTAAGCTTCTCCAAGCCCCTACCCCTTAACCGGCTTACTTATGCTGGCAGTCTTGTAGTCACGTGACACACGTATTAATGTGTCACGTGACATAGTAAATTAGTTATACGTGCGTCACGTGACATGAGGGTTGCCGCGAGGCCCAAAAGAGCGTGCTTTTGGTATAAATCTGCATTTTGTGATATTGTAGCTTAGCCATCTGGGCAGTGCGTTGTGCTAAAAGGAGGTTACTGATCGTTGTTTTGTTTCAAGCACTGGCCCTTTAAACCGAATGCACTCAGTGCAGCCTAACATAGCTTTCTAACATCCACATTGCTTCGCTCGGATTACAGATGCCATATCAAAAGCCAGAAAGCTACAGAGACACGTTTTTGGCAAAGTTATACAGCCTGAGCCCCAATAATATGTGGTATTTAGCCCGAAATATGGTGAAATGGTATACTATGTCACAATCCGTAGGACGGGTTTGCACTTAGAGATTAGGAACCACATCAGTCACATCAAAATGTATAATTATTTGATGATTTCGTGCATTTGCATTGAATTGATAGAGCACAGATTGATGAAAACGAAAGGAAATATTTATCTCATGAAAATGGGATTTATCATTTACGTTTACACTTTTTACTGTGTATAACTATAATGATGTAACGTCTCTGTTTGTCGAATCGGCAGTTTCGTCTTGGATTGCACTGTTCCGAATAGACTCTCCTCTCAAATCTATCGGTTCTGAAGTCTTGAGTCTCCAGTCTGGTTGTTTCAAAATTAGTTCATTTTCACGTAAATGCGTTTAGATCCTCATTTTCCTATTTTCCGTAGCTCATGTAGAAAGTTGAAAGTTTAGCCAATGAACGTGTGGGAACACCTTGGCCTTGATCGCTCTTCTGTTAGCCGGCAGAAGTTTCTTACGAGAGTAAGGAATGTTAGGCTGATCTTGTGTGTGACTCTTCTCCTTAGGGGAGTGGCTGCTGATAATCCTTTAAGTTCAAGTCAAGATGCCGATGATGAAAATGAAGGTAAGAGCTATTAAATTGTTACTGGTTTCAAATCCACCATGCTAAAAAAGGTAAATAGGTACCAGTATACACTGAAAATGAAGCGTTCTCCCCCATCGAGAAAATGGACGTAGTTCTTGTTAATGTCAAAATAAAAATGTAAACATATAAGGGCTATTGTAATAAAGGAATCAGTTGGCTGCTTTACAGGTTGGAGAGCAGTACCATCTAAAAATGATCGTAACGATCCTAAACGCTTTGACATGAACAGTGGAAATCTACAAATCAAAACAAAGAGCACTGCTTCGAGTAATAAGGTGCGCGTAGTCGTACATTTCTACGACGGAACAGAATATAATAATAACGTTCAACGCGTAGGTACAGTCACCCTCGGTGACTGTCAAAGTCAAAGACACTGCGGAATTCATTATAACCTCCCCTCGTCCCTACTTACTAAAGGCACAATATTGGAGATATCGGAACACCCAGGAGTACCCAGGATTAGAGTTCAATGTAACGGAGATAAAGTGCTGGATATCACGCTGTCAAATGAATGTGATCAAAGTGGATGGCGCGAGTTCTGGAGTAGAGACGTGAAGCATATAAGGTTCGGTCACCAGGACACAGCATCTAAATTCTACAGACAAACCACAGCAACAGGTTATCATTCTTGTTTACTTAATAATCATTTTTTGTCTCAATTGATCAGGTAAGCTAGATTATATGTATATCCACATACTCTAGACTCTAGTAGCAGGGAGGGGTTGAGTGTGCACTTCGACGTACAGAGTTTTTTATACTGAATCGGGGGGCCCCCACAGGGTTGGGACTAGCGACACATTATGTCCCCCTCGGTGTTTTGAGTTACCAATCACAGTGCTGGCAAGCACGACCGGTGCATTTATTGTGGGTATACTATGTACCCCCTTTACTATTATACCCCCTTTACTATTATACCCCCTTTGGTACACGTTACAAGCCTCTTTCGTGCACGCGAAGCGTGCACTCCGGCCAGAGGCGGCGGCCGAAGGCCGCCGCCTCCGGCAGGAGTTTTTCAGGCATTAAGACTCTTCGGAAGTCGTTCAGCAGATTCATTTTAGTTCAAAACATTCTAATTTGATGTCAAAGATGACAGGAATAAAAAATAGTTATGTTGAGATTTTTAAGAAATTTGCATAAAATACTCGCCAGCACTGTTATACGAAATTCGGTAAAAAACCCAAAATCGCCATATTCAGGTGCCTTAAAAACCATGTTAAAATCGAGTTAGAGATCTGAAATTTTTCAGGGCGTCTAGACGTTGGACCAAATCGACTGCAAAAAAAGTTTCAGGTTTCAGGAACATCGGGAAGTGGGTTTTCTAGAACCCCTGTTTTACGACAGATTGTCGTGATATCACAGTGCTGGCAAGCACGACCGTTGCATTTATTGTGGGTATACTATGTTCCCCATTTACTATAAAGCTATAATACCCCCTTTACTATTATACCCCCTTTACTATTATACCCCTTTACTATTATACCCCCTTTGGTAGTGTTTTTAGTTCAAAACATTCTAATTTGATGTCAAAGATGACAGGAATAAAAAATAGTTATGTTGAGATTTTTAAGAAATTTGCATAAAATAGTCGCCAGCACT